GCAAGTAGGAGCCAGCAGAGAAAAACACATTGCTAAACCTTCTATCTGCTCATTTGAAAAAACAAAACACAACACTTACTATGTGTCAACCACTCAAGTATTGGGGCTAGAACACTGAACAACATAAAAATAGTTCTTGGCATGGAAAAGCTCAGTCTGGTGGAGGCACTGGCCAGGTGTGTGATGGATGCTAAAAAGGTATGGGTAATCCAGGCACATACAGAAGTAAAACACACACTAGGATGATCAGGAAAGACCTTTCAAAAATATATCTAAGATGAAAGCTAAACATCAAGTTAGCCAAATCACAGCGAGAAGAGGAAAAGAGACAGGCTTCTTTTAAAACACTGACACATTTCACTATAGCATGATCATAGATGACAAGGGGCACACTGAGCCTGAAGAGGGTCAAGCATGGTAAGATCACAAGGTTAACACAGAATCTCTAGCTAGGCAGTGGTTGCGCACGCCTTTAATCTCAGCACTTGGGAGGCGGATTTCTGAGTTCTAGGCCAGCCTGGTCTACAGAGTGAGTTCCAGGACAGCCAGGGCTACACAGAAAAACCCTGTCTCGAAAAACAAACAAAAAAAAAAGTAGAGAATCTCTAAAGAGCTTTAGGGAGAAGGGTTGTGATCTGATCACAGTAACCTTTTTAAAAACTTACTAGTGACACATTTATCATTAACAAACCACAAATACATAAGGAGCCCTTTTCATTAATAGTCTAAAGCCCTTCATGACTATCCCTTATTACTGATCTTCATAGCAGGTATTTGAAATCCTTGAGAGCCCAGTGGGTCTGGGTGATGGACAATTAAATGGGATACCCCTTCATAGGTGTTGAATCAGAGACAGAACCAAGGAATTCTTAATCTGAGTAACCAACCCATTACTATTCTTTCAGTGGAATTGTCCAGAAGTAAAGCAGGTTTGCCAACTTTCACACGTCAGTTAGAGCAGATAATTCTGGTGTATGTGTTTTGGAGGGAGAAACAGTATGTGCTTTATAATGCTTTAGAGCATCCTTGTCTTCTACCTATTATATGCCAGTAGCTATGACCACTCTAAAATTGTGTTGCCAAAATTTTCTGTAAACACTGCTAAATGCTCTTGTGGGTGGAACAGTTTCTTTTCAGTTAAGAACCACTAAGATAGGAAGTTGGGGATATAGCTTATTGGTAAAGTACTATGCCTATAACATATGAAGTCATGGATTCTATCTCCACTATCAATTTCTACTATCATAGAGAAAGTCAGTAAGTAGAGAATTTATTCAATGAAAGCTTTTCTATACCTGGGATCAGCAGCACTCTCGGAGCTCTATAATACAGAAGCTGATAAAAAGCAGTCACTTTTCATGAATCCTACTCTTGATATGAAGCTATATGGTGTGAGCTCAAAACTACACAGGGAATCCCTTTGGTTAAAGTGAAAGGCTCTCAATAAACTGAAGTTCTGTCCCTCCTCTTAGACCCATCCAGCTATGTTCTGTTTCTGAGGGGGTTTGTGTTCAACCTTCACCAGGGAAGTGGGAGAAAAGTACTTCAGAGCTACCAAAGGCAGGTAATAAGAGAAACACAGTAGGAAGCAGATGGGTGGGTGCCAAGAGTGGCTTACAATTACTGAAGTGTCATGACAAGGGCTAGGTAGCACTCCCTCAGGATTCTGCCCAGTTCTCTCCAAGGTGAGAGATGAAGCTTTAGCTTACCACTGTACTCCATCCCTCAGTAGTGACTCTTGCAAAGGCAGCAGAAAACTCCACAGGGTCAACAGCCAAACAGGAATGGAGGAGCTCCTAGTCTGCCAGTGAGGCTGTAACCAAAGTAAATGTCAAGGCCACTGATTTAAAAGCTCAGAATTTTCCAGTCCTAATATCACCTTTTAATTCAGTGACCTCTGCTGAAACCCTTTCTCTCTGAGTAGTAAATGTCTCTACACATCTCACATGACTATGTGAAACTCAGGGCATATCAGAGGGCAAGCAAATGTGATTTTAATAACTTTTGTTTACTGAAGGAATCAGAAGAAATAAAAGAGGAAGAGACAGAAGGCAAAACAGACATGCAAGAATAGCAAAGAAGATAAGTGAAGAGTAAGGGGATAGGCTCATAAAAGTGGAAGACTGCAGAAAGATGGAGGATGATGGGTAGCCCAATCTCCTTGACACAGATCTTTAGATAAAGATACATATCATGACAGGATTTTTTTTAAACCACAGAAGTTTCAGGATAAAATTGAACAATAACAGGGAATTGACATGGATTAGAAATCTACTGGACAGTCCATGGAAGGACTCCAGAAAGGGTAACTGCCCTGTTCATGAACGTTGCAGGTGTCCTATGTGAAGGCAATTGACATTTGGATGGCTGTATGCCTGCTCTTTGTATTTGCTGCCTTGCTTGAGTATGCTGCCGTCAATTTTGTCTCTCGGCAGCATAAGGAATTTATGAGACTTCGTAGAAGGCAGAGACGTCAGCGCATGGTGAGTACTAAAGGGGTGGGGTCCACTTTCCTTCTCCTTTGGAGTCCTTCCTTCCTATTACTCCTCCCACAAACCCAACCCAGGACTCTAGGACTGGGGAATTGGGAATCCTAGATTCTAGTCCTAGGCTGGTAACAGTTAAATTAAATGCTTAGTTTTTCTCATACTGTTTCCTTTATCTATCCAATGGGACAATAACCCTTACAAGGCAGTACTGAAATTAAGAGTATGTCACACAGTAAACACTTAAATATTAGCCCAAGTTAGGCATGGTGGCACATACCCCTAATTTCAGCACCTGAGAGGCAGAGGAGACAGGAGGCATTGTTAGTTCAAGGCCAGCCTGGTCTACATAGCAAGTTCCAGGATAGCCAGGACCACATAAAGACCCTGTCTCAAAATAAGCAAACAAAATCATATTTGCCAGTATGAGAACCTTATTGGCTTAGCACTGATGTTATTGCTTTGAGAATTAATAATAGTTGTTTTTTGGTTTTCCTCGCATCCAGAAGGAAGGTACTTTAAGTCGTCTTCTATTAAGAACTAAGAGTCAGACACCAGTGCCTTTCAAGTGGAGCACTGTAAGATGGTCCCCATATTTGAACTGAAATTGAAAGATCACTACTTGCCTCTTCTGATTGGTGGAATTTGTCTTGAACATCAGGCACTTCAGAGTTGGTAGGCTTGAGGTGGTGTTCTTGCTCACTCTTGTTTGTTAGCCCCATTTCTTTCAGAACAGAGTGATCACCAAGGGGAGATAGAAGAGGAAGTTGTTGTCATGACAACAGAAGCAGTTTTCCCTCAATTGCCCAGACAATAGGCACTAGGTAAGTTGTCATGACAACAGAGGTACCTAGGCTACCCTGAGAAAAGCAAGCTCCAATTATGAGAGCAAAGCTGAAAGCCTTGGTACTGGTTGCTTAATTTTCAGAGACACAGTGTCTCACGCTTTGACTCCATGTTTTCTGTCTAATCCAGAGGCTTCAAAACCAAAAAGCAAAGCACATAATCACTTTTGGAGGACAGAAAACAAATCATCTGAACCCACTATTAACATCTTGACTCTAGAGGGAAGCAGTTATAGCTCAGTGGCAGAGTGCTTGCCAAGTGTATATATATATATATATATATATATATATATATCTTGGGTTTGATTCACAGTAAAACACACACACCACAAATTCTTACTCTAGGCTATCTGAGACATACTAATGAAAGGACTCTTTGTCCCTCCTAACTCTCAACTCCCACCTCAGTTGTTCCAGGCACACCCCTACTATGACTTCCAATGATCACACAAACTAGCTATATGACTTCACATTTCTTGGTATGGTTCCTTTCTGGCGAAGAGAGGGCTCCTATCTCATACAGATTTTCCTGAATTCCTAGTTTTTCCTCTCTTTAGTTCATTCATGGTTCCTAAGGAGTGAGCCCTCTAGTGGATTGATCTACTACTACATCTCTTTGAATTAAGACTAACTAACTAACTCTTGTTAACCAGCTTACAAGATCTTCCTGCCTCATAGTAGGTGTAAGAAAACATGTACATCGTTAGGGGATGGAAAAAATCAGGATGCTCTCTTTCCTAAAATAACCATCTTGGCTTCTTCTTTAGTTGTATGAAACTTGTCTCCAGGTACCAAAATCCTTAATTCATAGTTTTGTTAATTTTTTAATGTTTTTTTAATATGGCAGTTCTAGGAAAGAACAGGTTGTCAAATAGCCCAGAGTCCCTTTCCTACCTAAAATGCCTGTGTTGATGTCCCAGTAACAAAGATTACTACAGTTACTCATCTTGATCCTAGTACCACCTCCTACACCACTTGTCTCCCCTACATGGTCCTCTTCTCCTGTGGCACTGCAGGAAATGATGATTTTTTTTTTTACATGCACTTTGCCTTCCCAGATGGTCTACGTGATTTAGAGGAAAGGGTGAAACCCTTATTCTCATCATCCCTGCAGGGTTAGCCCCTGGCTCTGAACACACCAGCCAAAGGCAAAGGCTGTCAAACTGGATAGACAAGAATCCTTGCTATTATTAATACAGTAACTTGATAACTAGAAAACTTACAAAATACCAGCAAAAACTCTCAGGGGCTTATGTTCAGAACCTAGCTCACCTCTCCATCTTCCATTGAGCACTCTGCCCCATCTCTAATTTCTCTTCTCCCTGACTGTCTTACTTCCATATTTATTACTCTATCCTGACTTCATACTCCACCTTCTACACTGGACATTATTTCCCAGCTTCCCTCTCTAGCCTTCCAGCACTTGGCTCCTAGATAAGTAGAAAAAAATTCAACTTTATTTCAATAGCTATGGAAATAGAAAAGTTATGTTTAATGGCATGTTGTCTGTTCCCAACACGTAGACAAACACTCACCATTCAGAATTTGTCTTAAATATCTAATATCCAAACTCAGGCCTCTTTGATCCTTGTATTTTAGGGTACTAATCTTTGCTGGGCAAGGCAGAAAAGATATATACTAAAATTAAAAAGAACCGAGAGCAGCTTACTTTATTAGATGCATTTTCTCTTCTGTATGAAATTATTTTCTTCTAGCCTGGGAAATATTTCCATATAATTTCCTTAGATTTACTAAATAAAAAAGGAAATAATGGGATTTATAAAAACAGAAATTACAGTTGAATCTAAGCTTCTCCCTCAGAACTTTTTCTCAATGCCTATATTCTGTAGTTGTATCTTCTAGTTGGGAGGCTAGGTGAATAGTAGGGTACAGGATCCTATTCTGGAATGCTAGGAAGATTTTTTTTTAACTTTACTTACCCCTATCATTTTTTAATTCCTTGTGAGATATTTTTCTTGCCTCTGGTTCTTTATCAGTAAAATGGACCCAGCAAACCTCTCCTGTAGGAAGAGTGTGAAAATTAATTACAGAATACATGTGAGATAAATAAAGACCTCTGACTAAAAAGAAAGCTAAAATGATAGATGAGCAGAGCCTTCAGGCTGCCAAAGTGTAACCATTCAAGATTGTTGAGCCAGGATAGTAAACTGCCTCTGACATACACATATATATTACTCTACAAAGACCCTGATACTTAAAGAATATTTTTTGCCCCTGTGTTCAAAGTGTTCCTCACAGGGGCAGAGATGGCTTAGTAGATAAGAGCACTGGCTGGCTGTTCTTCCAGAGGATCTGAGTTCAATCCCCAGCAATCATGTGGCTGCTAACAACAGTTTGGAACTCAGTTCTAGCGGATATGATGCCTTCTTCTGGTCCCTACCAGCACACACCCATGATGCACAGACATGCATGCGGGCCAAATGCCCATATATCTCAAATAAAACTAATAAATATTTTTAAAAAGTGTTCCTCCCTTTGTAGAAGCAAAAGGCTATTGAACCATTGTATAGTGGGGCAAATAATAATTGTTTTTCCTGCCAAGTATTTCATAACTGAGAAAGATTCTTTTCTGAGTAGACTCTTTAGTTTGGGACTCTGACATGATATTGGCATCCAAGAACAAAAAGCCACTCCTTTCCTCATATCCTGAAGCATGTGGCTCATCAGCCCAGTTGTCCATTCAACAGATATCTACTGCATATCAATTAGGTTCCAAGCATGGTTCCTGTCACTGGGAATACAGGAGCGAACCTGTCTATATATGAACTAACAGATAGGATAGAAAAGGTTTGTGAATTTCTGGCCTGAGTTTGTCTGCCACAGATGGCCAGGCTTGCCCTCTTAATGGGTCAGTTTTGGGTGATATAATAATTAAAAAGTTACTATTATCAACCATACCAGTATGTCATCTACACAAATACTTTTCAATTGATTTCTATAGCTGCAGAAGCCTTGTTATAAACAACCTACAGTGTCCCTTCAATTGTACAAAATGTTTAACGCCTTTGTGCTCATTTTGTATATACATTTGTATATATAAAATGACATACCCATACAATATACATGTTTCTTGTTCTTATAACTTATAAAACTACATCAGGTAGCTAGGGTGGCTTACTCTTCCTGTTTTACCTTGGACTTCTCCAGTGTTGGAGATGAGAGACTCTAGTCTCTAGAATCTCCTCAGTTTTGGGAACTCTTGAGTTGGTAAGTGAAATCAGACAAAAGCATATTTCATTTCAGGCAATCTCTTAGCTGAAGCTTTTACTGCAGAACATTCAACATTTTTAATATACATAATCATCTTCTATTTGAAGGACATATTTCTCAAATCTGCTCTAAAATGAGAAAAGAGTAATAGTTCAGTAATAGATCAGGGATAGAGGGGCTGAGGGCTTCTTATCTAAGTACAGCTCTTGTAGATGTTTCTTCCCTACTTCTTCTCCTTCTTCCCCCTTCAATTTCTTTTATTTCTTTCTGTCCTTGCTTCCCAGTTGTGTCATAGGTACTCAGTTGTCAGCCAACTATTGAAGTAATGGTCTTTCGGCACTCTACTGCTTATTTTAAATATACCTCTGCCATGTTATTGAAGCTATCAAAAGGCATGCAAACTGTATATGAATATAATGTGCATTGGATAATAAATGTTACTGTAAATTTGCGGACTCCCATGTCCAATCGGCTAATTTGCAAAGAAATAAACAGACCTTCAGAAGAGTGGTCAACTTAAACCTACTTTGCCTAGCTCACTTGGTCATTTAAAACTTTTGGACTTCTTAGCTTTAAGTCAAAATCAGCTTTAAAATATACTATCTGCAAAACAAACTAATTCTAGCTTTAAGTCAAAATCAGCTTTAAAATATACTATCTGCAAAACAAACTAATTCTAAAGCTTTTTAAATTCATTAAAATCAATTTACCAAGTCAAAATATCTCAGCCTCACTGTCTGGTGGTTTTGTTGTTCTGCTTACCTGTCACAGAATTTGACGTTGAGATACTGGCACTTTAGTAGGTTTTAGATGACTCCAAATGATGTTACACATTTTCAAAAGACAACTCAATGCATGGCTGTAAATGAAACCATAGCATATAGCTTCTCAATATATATAAATATTATATATATAAATACCACCTTTTATCTCTTGTAACTATAGGAAGAAGACATCATAAGAGAGAGCCGCTTCTATTTTCGTGGCTATGGCCTAGGACACTGCCTACAAGCAAGGGATGGAGGTCCAATGGAAGGTTCCAGCATTTATAGTCCCCAACCGCCAACCCCTCTTCTAAAGGAGGGAGAAACCATGAGGAAACTCTATGTGGACCGAGCCAAGAGAATTGACACCATCTCCAGGGCTGTCTTCCCTTTTACTTTTCTTGTCTTCAATATCTTCTATTGGGTTGTCTATAAAGTGCTAAGGTCAGAAGATATCCACCAGGCACTGTGAACAGGGTGGATGCTATAGTGTACAGCTGCTGGCTTCCTGCTTTCACCCAGGTGGGCTTTTCCCTTCCATCAGACTCTATCAGGAGTTTGAACAGTTCCTTCTTGATCTTCCACTCATAACTTCAATTACCAGTTCCCAAGTTATGTGGGGACTGCATAGTGCCAATGGTAGCTATACTTACAAACATGGCTTATATACTCTCATCCAGATTGACTGCTTACTCTGCCATTTCTCTTTGTTTGTCCATGTGCCTAATGCCAAAATGACTTTCTGTCATTGCAGGGGCTCCTCTGTGAAGAATATCTAGATTGTGGGATTCTTGGTTTTATCATCTGCATCTTTTCTTCTTGTATTCAGAGCCAACTTTTACTGGGCACTTCTCTCCCTCCCACTGTCCTTTCAGTTCACAAATACTGCCCTGAATGACCTAGTCAGATATCCTTACCGATAGGAAGACAAAGGCACAGATTTTGAACCTCTTAACAACGATGTGGTAGTCATAGGCTGTACTGGGCTAGGACAATATTGTATGGCCCAACAGAGGTAGGTTCACTTCTCCTACAACAGATAACATTTTCAGAACTAGGGAAAGAACCCAGGACTCTCAGAAAGTGTACCCTTTCCAGATCTATGTAATCTTCCTGGTTCTAGACATATCTGTTATAGTCCCTAATCAAACAGCACAGCCACAAGTTTTGTTACGCTGCTGGGTAGGAAAAAGGTAGGGGAGGCTTATTTTTTAAGAATTGTATTTAATGATCTAGGAAAGGTGATATGAAAGGTACTAAAATCTAAGACCTGGAGTACAGAAACACTCTTTAAACAGACTGCTATTCTCTTGTTTCTTCTTTTTCTCCAAAGTCTCTATTTTGCAGGACCTTCTAACTTTCTCCTTCACCTCCTCTTGACAAGCAATTGACAGTGCCTCACAACCTTGTTGTGAATAGAGTAGGCTTTGAAGTTCCTAAAGAAGAACTAGCCATGGATAGGGTCCCTTATCTAGGTTTCTAGGGAAACAAACATTGGCTCTACCTATCTCAGGTTGTAGTTATAGAAGGCAGAGAGCCATAATTTGGGTTATTTCTTTACCCTTTTGTGCTTTCCTTTCTTCTTCCATAGGAGTATTCAGTAAAGCTACAGAGAAGGTCAGAATAGAGTGGGTTGCTGCGTCACTGTAAATCATGGGGACGCATGGGCCCGGTACATTGAGTTCTTTGAAGTGATCTGACTATGTAGAGCAGAAAAATGAGATAAGTAAGATCAAAGTGTGAGAACTATAGTTGGAATACAGAAACAAATAGTATCTTAAAATATTGTGTCCTTTTCTCTGGACCTAGAAAAATAAGTAACTATGTAATCAGAGCTCTCCTCTGCCCATTCCAACTATCCTCCTTCTCTTTTCCCATCTTCATCTCTACTTCATCTCTCCCTCACAATTTCATCATTTCACATAGAACTCTAAATTCAAAGTCAACAAGTCCGATGGCCAATGTAAATGCTATAGTGCAAGGATAAGACCAGCCTTCTTTCTCTACTTACATATTGAATTTGCCTGATCTTTCTGATTCATTGGGATAGTCTTTTGTCTCCCTTGATTTTGAAGAAGTACTTTGGAATGATCAAGGTAGCTGGCCTAGATTTTTTTTTTTTGAGACAAGGTCTTGCTATATATCCAAAGCTACCCTGTAACTTATCTGCAGCCCTAGACTCATAATCCTGTCTAACCCTACCCAGTATTAGGATTAACAGTATGTACTACCATATTCAGATCTAGAAAATACTTTTATTGGTCATTTGAGTACTCTCACACCAAGAATCAAACATTAAAAACTGGTTTATAGGAGACTGAAAAGGGAAAAGAGCCCCTATGTTCTTATTTCTGCCCAGGTAGTGCCAATCAATGAGAAGCCACAAGCAATACCCCTTTGAAAGGAGGAGAGAGTATCTCTTTGATACTGTCCCTGATGGGGCTGGGGTGTCAGGCTGCTGCAGCCCGGAGGCGGGGATGATGGGGGTGGACTATGGAGATGAGCTTATTGCACAGAGCTCTACTTGTTACAGATCTTGTCCAGATGGGCCAACTGCACAAATCTGCCCTGTTGGAAGTCTCAAGAACAATGCCCTGGAGACAGCTACAGTACTGAGCAATAAAGGCTGTCCAACTGGGCCTCAGATCAGGGCATCAGCTGGTGCTGGGTGCCAAAGAAGCCAAAGTACCGACCAACATAATAGACCAAAGGAATTCACAAAGCCACTCAGAGCTAATGCCAGGTGGAAGGTACTATCTTCACTGGAGCCCTTAAGCAGGGGAAGTATATGCATAATGTCAACTTCAGATCTGAAGCAAATGGCTTTCATTTTCTCCATTCTTCCCACATATGTACTAGGGAAGTGCTAAGTCTCACTGAAGAGGTTTGACATTTCGTAATCTGTTCAATCACAAAATTGTTAAACTTAGGTTCTTCTTACCAATAAATTGAGAAAAGGTAATATCAGAGTCTCATTTGGAGTACTTACCCATCCAGAGACCCATACTACCATACTATTTTCTGCCTGAATCAATCTGATATGATTCTGAGATTTAAACATGTTAAGGGGTGTGGGGGGTCCTATGAAGATAAAGTGTTTGGGGCATTTTCATTAATTCTTTGTCAATATTTAATATTAGATAAATATTTCATAAATGTATTTTTCAAGAGGAAAGGCTTTATTTACTCAGATATTAAGGCATTTGATGTGGCCATCATCCTAATAGCTCTGCTTTGTGGAATGCCAGGGCTTTTGCCTCCTTTTTCTCTTTAATCTACAACAGGTCCTTTTACTCTCTCCAAATTCATAGGTCAAGCAAAAGCAGCTCTCTAAGTGAAAGAAATGTACTGAATGAAATTTATTCCTTCAACATTTTCAAAAGCAATTTCTCACCTATCATAAAAGAACAGGAACTCTTCTGTTTAAACTGTTAGGCTGACTGAAAGTTAGGTTCTCTTTTTGTTGAGCAATGTAAATGCCTCAGTTGTATCCAGAATATATCACTTCTTTTGGATTTTTTAATGTGTTCTCCCACCACTCTCGAGTGTCTGTATCAGTGTTGGCATTATTAGTCTTATCTCATTATTTCTGTCTACTAAAATATCAAAAATTATACTTCACTATGCTGTGATTAATCTTGTTAGGCTGCACTGTTAAGGAACACTAAAGAATCTAGATCAGAAATCACACAGTGATCACTGGCAAACACGGTTCTACTCACTGGTTCAATGGAAGAAATGGAGATATGTTTTTTGAAGGAAGAGATGCATTTTATACAACTCATTAGCCTGCACAGCTCCCAGTACCTAATAATACACAATATGTGTAATTAGAATAAAAGCCTATCTTCTCACTTACTGTATCATATGTTTTGTTCATTCCCTTTCTGTTAATGTACTGAACATAGAAAAAGAGATCCAGAAGAAATCTTAGAAAATCAGAGACCATACAGATACGTATACACAATGTGGTCTTTAGGTACAACAGAAACAAAATTAAAACGACCTTGTATTAATGTTCTTATTAAACATTAATAACATACCATATATTAAGACTGGGATCAGGTTATAATTAAAATCCCAACCACTAGATAAATATCGTCAGTGACAGAGTACAGTAGTGGGAATCTCAGCAGCACAGCCATCTGCTTCCCCCCTGTTTTACATGTTGGTTCTGTTGAGGAGACAGTCATCTCTGAAGGGAAAGTAATTAATATGTTCTTCCTAGCCTCACATTCTGCTCTATTACAGTCTCCAGCTAGAATAATATTTATAGGCTACAAATATGGGCTGAAGGCTTATTAGTCAGAACAGCTTGTTAGCAGGTCTTAAGCCAAGGGGAAGAATAGCCTCTAAGCCAATTCACCAACACAAAGAATTCTCAGCATGAAAAGACAAAGTCTACTAACGTGAAGCCACCCAAAGAAGTCACATGAGTAGCTCTGTGTTGCACCTTCTGCTTTCATGTACAAAGCTTTATAAAAATGCCCTACTGTGTTATACTGTGTGGTGTGTTATTTAAAAATAGACCTCACTATTATTTCCTGGAATAAGGGGAAAATCTTGCCATCACCTAAATCTAGGGGAAATTTTCACTTACAGAATGGATCAAGAAAATATGTAAGCTTATTCTCTATTTTACTAGCTCCATCATGACAGTTTGGTCTTAAGACAATGTGATACTTTAGTACCAGACAGAGCCTACGTTTGAATGATAATTCCCTCAGCCTCAGTTTCTTCCTCTAAAAGCTCATTCGAAGGTTTGGAGAAACCTAGAACACAGTAACTACATGACTTTGACCAAATTATTGAACTATTCTGTACTTCAGTTGTCACAACTGTTGACTGAAAATAATAGTAGCTACCTCATAGTGTTGTGGGAATTCCAGGCAAGAAAGGATGAGAGACTCAAAAACTTTTAAGTAGTTTACTCTAGTCTCACAACAGAGACAAAACTCAAGTTTACTATTTTTCAGTACATTGCCTTATCAAATGTACAAGTGATTTTCAAATCATCTGTAGGTCCCAAGGTCTTGTGGAAAGAAAACACAGGTACCCTCCCATATCTGCACGTACACGTGCTGATACACAATCA